GGATTATTAATTTGGATTCCGTCCGTCCTTCTGGATCCATTTATCGGACAGCTTTTTACCGATCTCGTTCAAACTTGGTATACAGACAATCTATGATGACCTACATATGCCAATTTTCGTTACGATTCAATTAAATATGGCTGACTAGCAGCCATTTTCCCCCAAATTTGCTAAATTCTGATATTTAAACGTGAACAGGGCGATTTCAATCAAACTTTGTATGGTGATCGTGCATATTGGGTTATTGGTGCACGTCACTTTTTTCAAGATTCGGTCCAAAATGGCCGACTCACGGCCATTTCATCTTTTTTTTTCATTTTTGTGCTGATTCCTCTGAAAGATATCGCCCGATTCACTTGAAAGTTTTTACATAGGTACTATACTTCAAGACAATACAACACCATGTTTTGTTTAGTGATTTAATCAAATTTGTCGAAATGGCGGCCGTTTTGTTTAATATCTTAAATTCACAGCCTGTAACGTGTCTGGAACTGTTTCCCGAAGCTGAATAGGGCGATTTCAATCAAACCTTATTTGATGATCATGTATATTGGGTTACACGTGCACGTCATATTTTTTTTCAAAATTTGGACCTAAATGGCCGACTGTTTTGTCTTACGATTTGATCAAATTTGTCCAAATGGAGGCCACTTTGTCAAAAAACGTAAAATAGCAGTAAAATATCAAGTCTTTTCTACCTCCGTTGAAGATAATGAAAAAAAAAATGTTGGATATGATGAACTCCTAAAAAAAATGTGCAAGCAAACCTACTAATAAAAAAAATTTCCAAACACATAAAAAAAAAAAAAAAAAAAAAATTGTCTTTCACTGAGCTGACCTCCCCCCTCAAAAATCAAATGGTCAAACCCTTATGCGTGAGCTGGACCTCATACAACTTATTAACAACCCAGTTTTTTCCGATGATGGATCGTTGTCTAAAATAACAAGTAAGTCATTAACTCTTTTGGCCTTGATTGTATTTTATTTCTGCTTGGTGGTAGATGAACATGTGCCAGTAAGTTTGTTTTTTGCCTCTGGATCGGCGTCGGTGATCCGGTATCAACTACAAGTCGTTTTATCCCAATCACGATCTTTACTTGAAAATTCATTTTAGTCGATCGTTTCTAAACTAACAATTCACGAAAAATGGATGTTTTTTCTACTGCTCCCGGTTGACAGATTGGTCACCGTCAACACACATATTTACGATCGGGGGGGGGGGGGGGACAGCGCTCGCTATCAATTCACCATGTTCCATGTTTGTTGTTTTTTCAGGAAGAACGTGACACACCAGAAACAATTATCCCCCAGGGCAGATGAATGTGTTGTTTGTGGATTCAGTTTTAGAAACCAACTACTAGTATTCGCTTGTCGATAGTATATATTTATATAATTTACATACTATTTATGTAAATCACCTATATTGTATTTATTGATGTGCATTGCTAACAGCACAGATATCTCAGCTGAGAGGCTGCAAGCTCAGTGTACTTTTTTCGCTAACTGTTGTAATGCAAATTTCATACAACTTACCGGTACGTTATGAGATTAGCACATGGATT